GCTGGATTCGAAATAGGTCTTTTTACTGAAACTGGTGAAGATGGCTCGTCTACTGAAAGAAGACTCTTACTAACTGTTTCTAGTAGTTCTTCAGCTTCCAGCGCTAGTTCTTCTTCTATTGCTTCCTCGTTCTCATTTTCATTTTCATTTCCATTTTCCTCCGTTCTAGGTAAATTTTTTCTTTTCGCACTTAGGCGACTGAAGAAGGAGCGAATTTGGCTAACTTTTAGAAATTCTTCTGGTGAAAATAAAAACTTTCCAGAAATTTTATATTCTCGCATATGTTCTGCCACAGTCTCTGGCTTCCATCGAATCGGATTTTCTTTATGCAGAGCTTCGTCGAATCTTTCGGTTAAATATTTCACCTGTTTATTGCTCAATCTAGTATGTTTTCTTTCTGAAGGCAAACCCCAGCCTTGTGGCAAAGGTGGGAAACGATTTTGATCATCATAGAGTGCTTTTCTTCGAGAAGTTTCTAGCATCATGGAACACATTTGTTTACTTTCAATTGTTTCAAGTTTAGCTGTATAAATTAAAGCTGCTGTATCTCCAAGGCATTGTCGTTCTGGCAGCAAAGTATGTTTACCATTACAGATATGACGCAAGAGATTGCCGAGTTTAAAAAATTTCTCAACGCAACCATCCTCATTGCATTCAAAAATCTCTTCCGAAATACCTTCTTTTTGTTCGGTAGAAATAGAAAGTGAATCTTTCAGCTTCGTTTTAGTATTAGATATAGCTCTAGAGTGAGCTATGGAGGGAGCGGTAAAACGAGTTGCGTTTTCTGGAAGTGTACTATATTTAGACTCAAGTGCAGGAACATCTTTTAGCGGCTTTAGATCTTTCCAACTAAAACGTTTCCATTCTCCAACTTCATAAGCTCTATGTACAGTTAATCCATCTTTATCAAAATGAAAATTATTAAAAGAGAAAATGTTAGACAACTGGACTTTCTGTTTACTAAAAAAGCTTTTCAGCTGGCTTTCAAAAACCTCGACACCTGCAATTCCGCCATTAGACATTGCGGCTTCAACAAATTGGGAAGAATTGCTGACAGAATTTTTCTCATTGATGTATCTTCCGTTGTGAGCTTTTAGGATACCAGAGTATCTATCACAGGGGCCTTTGCCTGATTGGCTCTCGCAGAAATCAATACGCTCGATGTGTACGCCAGTTTCTTCGCTGATTTTAGGAATTGCTAAAATTGTTTCTGCTGGCTTAAAGCAGCCAGCATTATCGGACCTTAAAAAGCACCGCTTTAAACTTGCATCTTTTTGTTTCATACGCAATAAAACATCTCTGATAATCGCACTGACATAAGTAGCATCTTGAGTGCATTGATCAAAGCAATGCACAAAGACTTTATACACGTAGTTAGAACATGGAGAAGGATCAGCATCAGAGAGTTGTGTTCTAGTGGTAGTATCATTGTTGTTTTTTACTATAACGGAAATGTGCCAACTGATACCCTTCTTTCCGAAAAACTCGCTCTGTGGTTCTCTATATTTGCTGGGCAAATATTTCATTGCCCAATCACAATACAAGTAAAAACTATCGGAGGGTAAAGATGAGAGACATTCATCTCTGCATCAATCTTGATGAACTGTTCTGAGTTGGTGCGACTTCCAAAGAGTAATACTTTCTTTCATTAACTTGAATTTGGAAATGGCTCGTTCTGCTTCTTGCTCATCTAAAATTGTATCTTTTAATAAAGTTTCAATTTCGAGAAAAGTATTTTTCAATAAAATACATTCCTCACATTGATCTTTGTGATCGTGGTTACACTTTGAACGAAAAGATTTATCTTTGGCATCGGACAAGGCATAGGTGGAACAATGATCGGCTACTGTTGACGAAATAGAAACATGAACTTTATAATCACTTTTGAGATATCTCTTGGATTGTTTCAAATTTTCAATAAGTCTTCTGTGCTCCGAAGACGTCGGACCTAAACTTTCAATCATCTTTATAATACTATCAAAAGCTTCACTAGCATCAGCATTATAATAGTCAATACCAGCGAATGATCGTCTGGTACTAGCTTTACAGATGTCAAGTATCTTATACAAGCTGGTGGTTTTCAAAGGAGGAAAATTTATAGCAGTTTCGTTACAAAAACAAAAGTATTGTTGTATTATACGAGAAGGTATTTGATTTCGAATGCTGTTTGGAACATAAAGCTCTGTACCGTCGCTCAGTTTCAACGTTTTTTGGCCAAAAGGCAGGTCAGTTGAAACCAAAGAAGAAGTAATAAAATCGATGAAGTGTTGCACCTGTGCAGTATCAAAACGCTGTACAGTACTTTCTTTCGGCTCAACCATTACTGCCGTACCTATTGTAGCAGCATGAAGTCTTGCTGATGTATACCTGTATGGTGTGAGACCAGGAATAAAATAGGTTATCATTTGATATGATATTTTAGGAGCAACTATACTCAATATAGATCTACGTGTAGACCAGTCCTCAGCATTGTTATATGCCTGTGCTACACCACGCATAACGTTCACAAAATTTCCATCAATTATTAAATTGCTCTCGGCCTCGCCTTCATGATATACATCTTTCAGTACATCTTCTATGTCATTTGGCGCTAAGATCGATAAGACTATTTTTACGATAGCTCGAGCATGAGATAAAAATTTTAATTTCGTTTTATTGTTCAAATTTTGATATGACGGTGTTACCCAAGCTTTTTGTTTACTGCAGCATATCTCTAACAATTTATTCAAACACTTTCGTCTTTCATCAATTTGGTCTTTAGTTATGGGTGAGTGAAAAGGACTATAGGCAGAAACTCCAAAAGTGGATTCACTCTCGTCGTCACTTTCATTGTCGTTTCTTTCAGTTAAAGTATTCAACCAAATTAATTTTTCTGTTGGGAATATTTGTTCTTTCATAATTTGTTGCAGTTCGTCACTGCAACTGTAGCAGATTATGTTTCCATAACTATTCAAAACTTTATATTTTTCAAACAAAACGTACGCTTCTTCTTTACTTATATTTTTTAGATTTTTCTTTGACTTGACTACAGTACTTTTCTTCATTACAGGTTGGCACACAGTACATTTCATAACTTTGCTTGGTCTTCTTTCCTTACAAAAATATTGAAAGTGTTTTTCACAGATGAAAGTTTTCTTTAATTTAAACGTCTGTTCTGCAAAATGATCTGCTTTCGTCAAAATCAGTTCCAGAGTAGTTTTAGAGTCCGGAAAATAGCGACGATTTTCAGGTGAACTTAAAAGTCCAGAGAAACAACGTAGATTTAAATCGCATTGACAGTTATTGTCAGGAAAGAAAAAACACTGATGTCCTGTAGAACTTGTAGTTGTCATTTTCAAATTTATTTTATGTTTAGAAAACCAATGTAGAAAAGATTTTTTTATCAGATTGATTTAAGAAGTTGCAATCGAAAGTCTTTACTTTCTTGCGCCTCTAAGGAGTTCTAAGGAGAACTGTTTGGCTTTTCTTCGTAAATATAATAAAAAAATTTTACGAACTGATTTTTGAAAAGTTAAAATATTAGTTTGGGCGAGTGGTCAAATAAATGGAATATCGTGAGTAGAGTTTAGTTTAACTTGTGATCAATTTTAAGATAAAACAAATTATGTGAATATGTTTAAAAATCTTTAAGAGTGTCGTAGGCTATAAATATGAAATAATTTCTGATTATAGAAAACTGATTTAAAAAACCTAAAGTATTTACTTACCTTTATGAATTGCTGAGTGTTTTAATCTTTGAAAGAATCAAATATTTTTTATGAATAGAAATTCGATCTGTTTGTATATCAAATTTATTTCAAGAAAAATGAAAAATCATTTGACCTATGCCCGATAGAGAATCATTGTTCCGACACACACATATATATCAGTCAACCAGCGATGACGAATTTTTTTTTTGTTTTCTTATTTGTTACATCCGAAATTGGTTACAATCATGGCGACTATTTCTTTTTTGTGCGCGCTTATTTGTCACGTTCGAAGCCACTTACAATCAAAACGACTCTTTTCTTTTTCGTGTACTTTTACTTGTCATGTTCGAAGCTGCTTGCAATCATGACGAGTATTCATCTACTGCAGTAGTAGTGATATCAGGCATCAAATGCATACTTTGCGACTGCAATATATACCATTCCGTTCAGTCAGAGAACTTTTTTCTGAGAAAAATCTGATTTATGTAGGTTTATTCGTTTTATCCGTGCAGTACGCGTTATCGTCTGTATACTCTTTGGCGTATAAAATTGATCATCGTTTTTGGCATAATTCTCTTTTTGATAGAGCTATTGATTTTATATAATTGAAACACATTGAAATATTTTCCGACTTCCATTACATTTTTCTAAGAAACATTCTTTAGTAAATTATATTGTCACTTATCGTTTATTCAAAATCACCTTATTTTGTTTTGTAAATATCATCGATTAAAATTTGGTCAGGAAGATTTGTATACTTTTCTATTCGCTTTTTCGTATATTGTGGTTCAAATACTTTTCTTTTCTCATGTAATACATCCTAGTTTCAAAGCCCCATCTGAGTATTGAATCAATCAGTCATAGATAAGACAAGACGGTTTCTTTGGGAATAGACAGTCATAATAGATTTTCTCTTTCCTGGATACTATAATGATATAGTAATGGCTTTTTTTTCTGGTTGAAAATCGAGTTTTTTCTGTTTTTCTCTTTACTTAGATGACTTTTTGCTCTCCTTTGTCTCTCAAATTACGACCTCACGCGATATTTTTTTCTCAAATTTTTTATATGGATTTTGTAGAGCGCGTAATTCTCTACAAAATACACTATACTAGATTTTCCTATTCGACTCTGACAGTCTCGAAAAACGGCTTGCAATGAAAAAAATCTGCATCCAAAAAAACCCGAGTTTTTTGGAAAACTCATTTTTTCTCTATGAAGACCCCACTTTTCGGAAGTCTCATAAGAGACTTTTTTGTTCAGTTTGATGAGCTCTTTCGAATGAGACGTTGCGCAAAAAAAAACAGATGAAAAATGACGAAGTTAGAAGCGAAATACTGGAAGGTATCGAAAAACGTGTTTTTTGTTGCGATTTTTAGACCCCCCTCTTGTTGTCAAACCTATAACTCCATGAAGAAAGATCCTAAACGTCTAAAAAAATTTTCATAACCTTACTTCTCTTCAAGGAATCGAATGAGATAAAAAAAAGTTACTTTTTTTTTTTCATTCTCCAGCGATTCTCGATGGGCTCGCAAAACCTCTCTTAAAATATAGAGCTGTCACAAATAAAAATGACAACTCGGAAGAAGACAAATTAGATATTATTTGTGATAATTGCAATGAATATTTTCTATCTGGTAATGATTTACAAAAACATTTACGAGCAAAATGCTACTCTGATGAAATTCGTCAAAAAATATTCGATTTAACAAAACATATAGGAAATGAAAAAAACCGTTCGAAAATTGAAGATATATTATGGCATAATAAAATTCTATTCGATCCTACACCATCCATTATTAACATTCCACCACAATCAGCAATCAAGACAGGTGATCATCCACCTATTTACTCAAAACAATATTCGTCTTCTTTCAAAGATCAAGATATTAAATTGCAAGAAACACAAAAATTATTAGAACGTGGTCAAATTGAAGAATCAACTTCTCCATGGTCATCACCTATTGTTATTTTTAAGAAAAAAGACAAAACAATGCGATTTTGCATTGATTATCGACGATTAAATACTATTACAATTAAAGATGCATTTCCATTACCCCGTATTGATGAAATTTTTGATCAATTATCCGATGCAATGTATTACACAAAATTTGATTTTAAATCTGGTTATTTCCAGGTACCTCTATCTAAAGAGGACCGACCTAAAACTGCATTTTCAACTCGTGACAACCATTATCAATTTACTGTATTACCTCAAGGAATTACAAATGGACCAGCAACATTTCAACGTGTAATAAATCATATATTAGGGCCTGCGAGATGGAAATATGCATTAGCATATATCGATGATGTAATTATTTTTTCGAAAACATTTGAAGAACATTTAATACACCTTAATGATATTTGTACAATATTAAAAAATGCTCGATTTCGTCTGAATCCAGACAAATGTGAAATTGCTCAAACTGAAACAGATTATCTTGGACATAATATAAAGAATGGTGAAATTCGTCCAAGTTCTCATAATATTAATGGTTTATTGAATACAAGATTACCACAAACTGCAGATGAAGCTTGTAAATTTGTTAAAGCAGCTGAATATTATCGCAAATTTATTCCCAATTTTTCTCAAATCGCTGAACCACTTAGGAAATTTGTTCCAACTACAAGAACTCAACAAAAGAAAGGACAAAAAACAATGATTACATTAACACAGGATGAACTTAAAGCATTCGAACAACTTAAACATTTTCTTACAACTGACTTAGTGTTACGATTACCGAACAATAGATTCCCTTTCAAGGTTCAAACAGATGCTTCGGATGAGGGAATCGGTGCAGTATTATTACAAATATATCCAGATGGTGATAGACCAATTGCATATCTTTCGAAGAAATTTACACAAGCACAACGCAAATGGTCTCCAATGGAACAAGAATGTTACGCATTTGTATGTGCATTAGATAAATGGCATAATTATTTAAGTGGAATTCAATTTACTTGGGAAACTGATCACAAAGCATTAACACAATTAAACCAAAAAGCTCAAATTAACAAACGATGCGAGAGATGGAGATTAAAAATTTTAGAATATGATTTCAAGGTGAAATACATTCCAGGCTTAACAAATTCTATGCCCGATTATTTATCAAGATCTCCTGTTGAAGATGCTGAAGAAGATCCTGATGAAACCACACACCTTCATTCCAAATCAACAGAAACTGATATTTTATATGATAACCAACATTCATCCATCATCGCAGCTGTTGAAACTCGTGCTATGAAATTACGAAATAACAATTTAAATGAACTTTCAAATACAACAAAATTAACATCAGATTCTCTACATAATTCTATTCAAGAGAATCGCACCACTCCATTTTCAATTGAAGAATTAATTCAAGCTCAACAAAATGATGCTTATGCAAAAAATATTTTTAATAATATCAAGAAATACAAACATTATATTATAAAAGACAGTATCTTAATGCGTCGATCTAAAACTCCAGTTCCATATGTACCACAAGGTGATTTTCGACGGACAATTTTACAAATATATCATGATACAGCAGCCAATGGTGCTCACTTTGGAAGAAATAAAACAATACATAAAATTAAACAACGTTATTTTTGGCCATCAATGTACAAGGATATTAATAATTATATCAAATCATGTATCCCATGTGCACAATTTAATCCTCGTCGACAAAAAACTCCTGGTACTTTACAACCAATACAACCACCTGATGGAGTATGGCAATTAGTAGCTATGGATTTTCATGGACCTATTACACCAATATCTCAACGCGGCAATAAATATATCATATCTCTTACCGATGTTTTATCCAAATTCGTTGTTACCAAAGCTGTACGTGATAATACAGCTCAAACAGCTGTTAGATTTCTTAAAGAAGACGTTATCACAAAATTTGGAACACCTCGATGTCTTCTTACTGACAATGGAACACATTTTACATCAATATTAATGAATGAATTATGTAAACAAATTGGTATCACACACTTGTATTCAACACCATACCATCCTCAAACTAATGGTCAAGTTGAAAGATATAATTCAACTATGGACGCAAAAATTGCAGCATTATCAAATTTTAAGAAAACTGATTGGGATGATCAATTACCATTTGTTACATTTAATTATAATGCTACAATTCATTCAACTACAAAACAAATACCATTCCAAATGATGTACGGACGATTACCAACATTACCCTTCGATTATCAAGCCGATAACGTCACATTATCATATGATGCTGAACATACCGTCAAACTCAAAAATTTTTTGTCAAAATTAAATGAACAAGCCAAATTAAATATTCTAAGGAATCAAGCTCGATACAAACAACATTATGATATTCATCGTTCTGATCCCTCATATAATATTGGCGATTTAGTTCTTGTTAAAACACTCAACACCCGTCACAAATTCGATATTCGTTATGAAGGAGCATTTAGAATTATCAAACAATTGACACGAAAAACATTCATTCTTCAACACGTCAAGAAACCAACTTTACATCGTCAAGTTACATCAGACGTGTTATTACCAATATTTGAACGTATTTATTAGATTTTAAGGACCTCTTCAATGAGATCCGTACCATAATTATATCTCAACATTAAATGGAATTATTAATTCGGATTAAATTTATACAATTAATTATTCTATGATACGAAATTTATTTGTTGAATGTATTTAACATTCAATCAATCTTCATAGATCCTCTTTGTGGGCCCTGAGAATCGAGAAGAACTTTTTTCGTACATCAATTCTATTGAGATATAAAATAACTATATCTATTATATATATAATTCATCATTATTTTTATTTGTCCTGAAATTATTATATTTATGAAAAAATTATATCACTTATTTTCACTGATTCTTTTCCCTTTGAGAATCGAATTTTTCACACCTTAGATTCATTTTTTAATGAATCGCTATTTAATATAATTACAATTTAACTTTCTATTCTAGTCATGTTATCACAACGAGAGTACGAAAAGCTTAAATGGCAATTAAAGAATATTCCATCAACAATTAAAGGACGTCCACGACAAAATCTTCGAACAACACTCCGAAAAAAAATACACGAACATGAATTAGCATCAACATATCCAACATTTACACCATCCAATTTCCAACAATTTTTTATAAATTTTCAAACAACTGATTTAACACTTCTTCATCTTATTGAAGCTTGTGCAGCTTCAACAAATTTTATTTTGGATACAGAATCAGTTGGTATTTATCAAGGTCCAAACAAACCCGCACTTATTCAGATTCAAATCATATTACCAACTTCGATTTCTTATGTATTGATCATTGAAGTTTGTCATTTACCACCTATCCATGAAACAACATTCCAACTTATTAAACAATTTTTTACAACATTGTTTTCTTCAGGAAAAACAATTTATATTTGGGGAGAAATTGATGAATTAAATGATTTTACTACAACTGGACTATTTACTCTTGATCAAATTAAACTATCAAATAATAACAATTTTCAAGATGAATTTAAAGATTATTGGACCAAGAAACATCCTCATCAAACACGATCTCAACGTTCAACAAATGAATTACCATGTCAATGTGAATCCTGTTTAGGCATTAATCCAACTGATACATGGTCTTTACAAAATGCCGTCGCATACGAACTTCATCAATGGTTAGATAAACGTTTTACTCGTTCAAGTTTTGATATCGGTCTTGATCCACAATTATATCATTTTAATACAAATGAAATCGAACACCGTACACGACTTACTCGTTACGCTATATATGATTGTTTATCAATTTATCAATTATTACTTAAATTGAACTTAATCAACAATCCACAACAATCAACAGTTACATTAATTACATCAATTGAAGAAAATATAATTGAACAACAACCAACAATCATTGATGCTGAACAGATTTCATCAGATGAATCAGAACCTGAACGTGAACCTCAACAATACAACTTATTATCGGAAGAAGAACGTAAACGAATACACAATCGTTCATGTACACTGAAACAAAGAAAACGTTATTATCAAAATACAATTATAATTAATAATATTGACCGTCGTTTTAAAATCAAACAAATAAAAGCTATTATTCGATCTTACGACGTTCCATTCTTTGCCGTTAATTTTTCAACATCATCGACAACAAGACAACGATCATTACACATCGGCATACGAGATTCATCACAAATTGATCATTATCACAATCGTATAAAACATTTATTTACAACATCTCATTTTTATGAATTTATATCTAGTCAACGAAATAGATCATCTTATAAAGATGATCGGACAAGGAGATCGAAATGATATATAAACAAAACACAAAAAATCAATAAATAAATCAACAACTAACCTCAATCTTATATTTTTGTTTCGTTTTTGTTTTGTTCAGATACTAAACTATCATTTTGTCTTTCATTTGTTCCTTATCTTTACATATCATACAACTTGTTGATCTCATTTAAAAAAACTGTGATTTTTGTTCTATTGTTTTCTTTTCATTTTTGAAAAAACTGTTAAATTACTTTGTCATTTTTTCATATATAACATTTCGTTCATTTCATTATATTAGTCATGTTGTTACTGTTTAAAAAAAAAAAAAAAAAAAAAAAACTGATAGTACACCTTTTTCGTTCAATGGGGAGAATGTTACGGTGATGTCGCACCTATACATATTTCTCTAGTATATTCCTCCTCTTTGATCTCTTCCATCTTTCTATGATTTTCATTTGTTATCTTTGTTTACTTTCGTTCTCTTATATATGTGTTTTCTGTTCGATATATATATAAGGATATTCGAACCTGGTTAGATAGAATAAAAGTTAAGTACATTTCGATCAGTACATATTAACATCTTACATAAAGACCTAACACAAACTTACACCAAACATTCACATAGCAACGTATGATGCTCAATATATATCAATAATACTAATCTTTACCAATCATCAGTCAGTCCACATATCTAATGTGAGGCTAGCATACTTTGCTTGATTACAAATTTCCTGTAATATTGAAGTGCATTTTTTGTGTAAGTTGGGTAGATATGAACGAGTAAGATCACGTCTATGTATTGGTTTAAATTTTGGATCGACATCATTCATAAAATTTTGAATGATATATGATGAACAATCGATAATGGAAGACCCATATTTACTATCAGATTTTGAATTATACTATTGGTGAGTTGTTGTTGACGTTTCTTATTTGTTGAATCCAAATTTAGAAAATTTCTGGTTGACTATTTAGTTATTAATCAAAAATAAACGAGATAATAAAATCCATATTTCAAATATTAGTATGAACTCAGATAGAGCAGAATATCTTTTTTATAAATAAAAGTTGTATTGTGTCATCTAAATTGTTTTCTCATTGTCTTTGAGAGAATCCATGCCTTTTATAACAATAAAGCACTTACATCGTTTGCCGGCAGGACTGAAAACAGTATTTATTTTCGGTTGGTTATCGTCTTTTTTTAATTGATCATGACTATTTTTCCATTCTTCAAACATCGTTGGGTGCTTATTCTTCAAATGCTTAAAAAAGTTTGACGTTGTTTTATAACTATCAGTAATTGATACTGAACAAAATCTACACTTCGAGGACCACCGATTCTTTTCCATATTAATCTGTAAATCTGAGAAAAATTCTTTAATTATTAATGGACATTGACCATCATCCTTTAAAATAATAATATCAGAATCTGTCATTTTCTTATGTAAAGCTGAATTAGTAGCAATAAGAAACGAAAAATAATACCAAAGGATAAAGAATGACAATGTATAATACCAAATGATAAAGAATGACAATGTATAATATCAAATGACACCACAATAGCAATAACAACAAATGTAAAATTGTACGAAATTATAACAGAAACAACAGCAGGCAAATATATATTTGTATAAAATTATAATAGAAATAACAACAAATAGTAAATTGTTCAATATGTAAATAGAAACAAAAATAAATACATATATAATTTAATAAAATTGTAATAGAAACAACAACAAACACAGCTGTTCAACACAATAGATTTTATTTATTAATTGTTATTGGAAGAACACAAATGGATTACGTAAATGCCAATCATATATATATATAACATTTCTGATAGAAGAAGAATAAGTGATTTAATAAGGAAGACGATCAGAGAAGAAGATGATAACTATTGAACCAATGTCTTAAATTATAAAATGAATATACAGATCGATGGACAAATTCATTTGTCGTTCACTTTTGTTCTGAATGACACAAAAAACTGAAGTTACTTCATAAAATATAGTACATATAAAATCCTGAAAAAAGAACCACGAGTACTAACTCCCGAGTACGAGTACTAACAAAATCGTACTCGAGTACGAGTACTTCGAGTACTTTGCTCAGCTCTGCCGCCATAGTTTAGTTCTTTAGATTTTTGTTGAGTATCAGTGTGAGGGTGTGAATTTGATTAGATGTATTTGTGACAAAAATGTTCATCCGGATCTACATACTATTGTGCACAACGAGATTGACGCTGATATCAGCGTACACATACTTATCCATCGGTTCAAAATATTGGATACTAGTTGTGTTGATGATTGTAAAGCACTATAAAATATCAAAGGATCGAATATACAGTCGAGAATCAAGTGAGTCACATGGACGAGTGTTACTTATGTCTGTATTCCTCGATCAATTCATTTAGTTCAGGCACCAAACGCATAAAACCGGTTAACTAATTTGAATAAAAATAAAAATCTCGAAAATGTATGGGTTTTTTAAGAGTTTTTTTGCGTTAAAACTTGAACACGTGTTTTTCATTGTTTGTTTGACTGGATATCAATGTGACTTTTATCTTATCTTCTATTCTCCATGTTCATACTGGAAACGCATCTTTATATATCCATTTTAAAGTCATATTTGTTTTATTTGCGGGTATCTATTATAGAAAGTGAGATGTATTCTTTCACAAGAGTAATATTTCTTGGTATGATTTCTTACTTTCTTGTACCATTTACTGAAGAACAATATACACCAGATTGAACATCATTAGATTCACGTCCATTACCTGCTCGGTATGATGAAAGCAAAATAGGTATATTTATCCATTGGGGCATATTCAGTGCTTCATCAATCTCATCGAAATGGTACGTTTTTTAATATGTGTGCTGCATAAAAGGAAAATATTTTGAGCTTTCAGCTTTCATTGAGAATAAAATGTGAATTTTTTCATTTTCATATGTGTAGGATATGGTGGTCATGGAAAGGAAACGATCCAAGTCCTGAGGTTGTCGCTTTTATGAATAAAAATTATCCACCTGATTGGACATATGCAGATTTTGCTGCTCAATTTCATGCAGAACTTTACAGTATATCAGATAATTCTTCTCGTTTTTTATGTGTTGAAAAACCTTTCTACTCTAGATCCAAATGAATGGGCCGATATATTAGACGCATCTGGGGCAAAGTACGTTCATTGTACTGACCGTAGTTGCAATCATCTTGTTTTATCTTTTTGTTGATTATATATGCTGTTTTTACAAGCAAGGTTTGCTTTATTTGTTACACATATTCTCGTTGTTATATTTAATATATGTATATCGAATAGCATCATGAAGATTTTACAATGTGGCCTTCGAAATATTCGTTCCATTGGAATGCGATGGATGTTGGACCTAAACGAGATTTACTTGGTAAATTTCTTATGAGAATCTATAATTTCTATTCTATTTTCTGTGTTTTATTGTAAGGTGATCTTGCGAATGCTATACGTAATCGAACTAATCTTGTGTTCGATCTATATCATTCCATGTTTGAATGGTTTCATCCATTATTCCTTGAAGACAAACAGAATGGTTTCAAGACACGATTGTTTCCTGATGTATGATGTAAATTTCTAAAAATGCAAAAACATTAATGTTTTTCCTATAGAGAGTGTGGGTGTGAGTGTGGTTGTGGGCGCGGATGTGTGTGGTGCAGGTGTCGGTGTGGGTGGGTGGGGTGTGTGGTGTGGGTGCGGATGTGGATGTATTGAAGAGAATACCCACACCCACACCCACACACTCACACGCACACCCCACACTCTAGCCACCCCCACACCCACCCACACCCATACCAGCACCTAGATTCACGCCTACCACCCCACCCACACCCACCCCCACACACCCACACCCTGCCAAACCCACCCATACTCACACCCACGCCCCACGCCCCACCCTCACACCCACACCCACAGCCACAAACTCTTATCAGACTCATCGTCTCACTCTCGCTCTCAGGCTTTCTGTGCGCTCGGTATAGCTTTCGGCCGCCCTATTCTGAGGGTAGGTGAGTGTATGTTGGTAGGGGATTGAAGTGTGAAATGTAGACATGGAGATGATTTGTACCTTTTTATCTGTACATCCCGATGTTCATAAGCGTGGTTAATCATGAATAAATAAGAGCAACACTTTTTTTTCTTTCCAAAATCTTCACCAAATGTTCTTTAGTTTCTTTTTTCTATTAAGTATCCTGTCACGTGTTATCAATTGACTAACGTTCTATTTATTGTAACATGATGCAAGGAAGAAAAAAAAAACAAATATCAGCAGACTGAATTTCCAACAAACAGCTAGGGTATAAAAAGCGACACATTCTTGACGTTATCTTCATTCAACTTCGTACAGCATTACGATTGCTTATTTTATTTCTTGTTAAATTCATTCATTTGCTTGGCCACATCGTAGAAAATGAAAATCTTTGTGAAAACACTCGTCGACACTTGGTCATTCGAAGTGGAACCC